GTGTGTGTGTGTATGTGTGTGTGTGTATTCCACATATCTAGGTAGTCAGTGATTACAGGGATTAAACATTATATACATGATTATCCTGCTGGGTGTAAAGGGACCCCCATGACATTCGTTATATTTCGCTGCTTCCAGAAAAAGATGCATATGAGTGAGTGCTAGTCTAATTTTCTATGCCTACCTGTTGCTTAACTATTTATAACGTTTTATATAAGAGCGTTGGCTTCAACAGTTTAATTCCGGAGACAAATTATTCAAACTATTTTCACTTCATACGCATGTCATCGTTGACTGGTTATCACCTGACCGCCATAGGTACTGCAATGTGCAAATGGTCGTTTTATTTGACGGGCGATATTAATTATTTGTGTTCTCCCAAAGCAACTCCTCGACCCGAAGGAATAACAGGCTTCGTAAATGAATGATGATAGTAGGGTAGATTTTCCTATGTTCCTGAGTGAAGGCACCAATCGAGACATAAACATTAGCCTAGATCCCTCTTCCTATCCTCTCCACCAGTGTTTTTTCCTCAAAAGCAGTTACTTTTGGCTGTTGTGAAGTTTTTATCACATCATGTGGCTTCTTCTTCTTCGACGTATTGCAATGCTTAATTCACTGTCAGATTTGAAACCTCCTTGTTTTCCGATAGTGGAACGAACCTCAAAAGAAATTTATCAGTAGTGAACCTAGTGTAAAGCAACACCTAGGACCAGTAGTGAGCAAACGATGGATAATATATATGAACTTGTAGCTAGCAGAATTCTATGAAAAAAGTAGTATCATTTACTCAGTGATACCTTTGCAGTCTTTGTTTACCTAGACCTCATACACTATTGTTGTCATTCATATGACAAGTCAGAATTTGACTCAGGAAGAAGTGAGGTCAAATAATCTTTAGTGTTTGTGACCGTATGTGAAGCTTTCTCTGACTGTAGTAATTAATTATGAACTAGTACCAAGAAGGTATGGCGCAGTAGTAGTAGCATTACTTTTCTGATGTACTTCATTTCCTGTACTATCGCTGTTAATTAATATCCTGTTATTAGTTTGGTACTGTTTTTACTACTTTGACAAATCGAAAAATCTTTATAGTAGTGACAGTAGTAATGTGGAGGTAGTAATGTGGTGGTAATGCGGAATTTCACTTACTGCGAAATAATTATTCACATTAGAAATTTTGGCATTTTCCTGTGATGTTTAAATTACTCTGTAGAAATGACATGTCAGAACTGAAACCGAGAAAGAAAAAGCATGATCGAAACACACGGACGTAGTCATAGGAATACTGTAATGGTAAGGGAGTAGCATCTCAGCGAGATATTAATATTTTGGCTTATTCAAATCAGTTTTTTCGTTTTTAATACATCAAGTGGGGTAATTACTTAACCGTTTCTTGTGATACTGCGGTGAAGCCGAATGGCACTAAGAACAACATTAGAAGACCTGATTGCAGAAAAGCAGTTGAAATACTTCTGGCGATAAATGTAGCGGTGAAATAGCAGATGAAGCCATAAGATATCTATGGTCATCAGTCATGGACGATGGCGGAAAAGCTTTGTATACATTTGCCAAAATCAGTTGACATCATTCACTTACCTTACTAAGGATGAAGCTAAACTCATTGTAAGATGGAATTTAGGACGTGACTGCAATATCTGAGTTGCCTTGCTTGCCGCTTCCACTTTGCTACACTTTATGCACTATTTCTACTTTACTACTATTGATATGACAGTGGCGCTTCAGGGTTGAGTTAAAGGACATCAGAATTATTAATGTCAGTACTTAGCAGAGATCATCGTCGTAATAACGATTATAATATACGAAGTAACAGTGAAAAAGTATTGCTCCAAAGAGGTGCACTTCCTCCTTTTTACTGCTGTTTCTGCCTTACTGGCCATTACAGCTGTAACCACTCAGAATTCATCTGAAAAAGTCAGAGATAGAAATCGTGGGCATCAGGAAAAGCAATATTAGTTACAAGTAATCATTGGTAGTATCGCCTTCTTTTATTATATGCTCCAATGTTGTCGAACCATCATTTCATGTAATACTTCTGTTATATTTCGTCTGAAATGAAGAAGTAAATTAGGCTTATTACTGACAGCATTTCACAAAATTAATCAGAGTGGCAATGTATATAATTTTCTGTTTTATGATGCTACCAATACGTGCCGTACTAAAGTTTGTCTGTTATCGCTATGGCTACTTCATCGAAGTATTGTAAAAAAATTCTGTTTCAGCTCAGTTCTGACTCCTGATAGTATTTAAAGTAGTAAATTATGTGCCAGAGAATATGAAGTGCTAAGAATTAGAACAATAATCAGATCTTTTTCATTTTTGCAGTTAGTACCTTGGCTAAATCTATTTTCCATTTGTCTGCAGAAACAAATTTCCCTATACTGTCAGAAATGAATGGACTTGACGTCCATCATATGTTCAAAATTGTCACCAGAACATCGTTGGCTGATCTCCTCTGCCATCGTAGCTATTGGCTTCGATAACTGCTATATCGATCAACTGAAACATCCTTTGGTAGGTTTTGCTGTCTCGTACTTGTTTTGATCATTGTCTGTTTTGTATGACTTAGAGTATTCTGAAAGTTCAGTCATACGAAAGATTATATAAATTTTTGTGATTTGTTCCTAAGAAATAATGACTGCGGTACTCGTTGATTTTGGATTTTATCTCTCTGCCTGTTTCGAAGTAAATCGCTACGCCCTTTTTTCAGTCTAAAATACTAATTGACGAAAATTTAGGAATTTTGACGTCTATTTTGGAGGTAAGAAACTGCAAACCGATTTTATAGTTTGTACCACGTCAGCATTTGAGGAAAGGGGACGTCAAACGTACAGTGCTCTGAGGTGTACCGCGGTCCCTTCGCCTTCTCAGAAGGAGAGACTGCAATGATTAGCCAATTTCTGAAAAAGATTAAGAGCGGACTGATGATGTATGTGGCACTGCACACTTACGGACAACTGTGGATGTACCCATTCGGCTGGGACTACAACCTGCCCATACCGACGAACATCGACGACATGGTACGTCTTTGCAGGAGCTTGTAGTGGTTAAATTACAATGGTTGTGAATTAATTCATGGCTTCGTAGATTAAGGTTGCAAACGCTGGCGCACTGATGGTGAAAAGGACAAGTGGATATGTCTTTACGGTGAAAAATTCAGGGGATTTCTGTAAGAATTACCGGAAACTTAAAAATGCTAAATCCTTTAGAAAGTTGGAGTAAAAAAAATATTTAATTTTAAAAGTTTTCCATTCATTTGCTTAAGGAGCAAGACAAAGGCTGATGTTATGAAACCTTTGTTACTCGGATACCAATGTTTTGGTCGTACAACAGCAGTTTTCTTCTCGACAGAACACTAACAACGAATGTTATGATCGGTCATACTGAGACTCAAGTAACCTCAGTAATTGCATACAGTAAATATAAACATTTGAAGATGCTAACAGACGCTATGTGATCCAATCGCACAGCTTGCTTTTATTAGCTGACATGTGCAGCTATTCTTTAATCATGAAAATAGCCTTATTATTCTTCGTGATCAACCCCTGAATATCAGGAAATTGCTCGAAGCCAGATCAGCAGGCTTGTTAAAAAAATAAAGAAAATAAGAACTTGGTCGGATGTTTTACCAACCTGTGATTCATGCAATTTTCTTGGACTTAATAAACTGGTGAATCTC